ATGACGACAAAACATAAGGACTAGCATTACAATTAGATTTTTGAAAGTAAAAGTTGACTGGAAAAGAGAAGCCGGAAGAGAGTTCCACAAGTAAGAAGTGGGATAACAGTTAGCATCGAACTTCCGGTTACATCTAGCCATTTTAACTGTGAAATAATAAGACTTTGACACTAACTCTAGTATTGCGCTTAAATTCGTGAAGTCTAGATACGAAAGACGAAAATACATCAGAACAATTACTACTAAAATATTTTTACCGGCATGAATGTCCGAGAAATTTTCACAGAAAATATGCGCCTTCCGAGAGAAATCGAACCTGTATCCTATACGGAACCGTCATATAGACCTGACGAGCTATACCCGTTTAGTCACAGAGGTGCGTCTGGTTGGCAAGGTCGATTTTACGGTTTTTAAACTCCAATTTTCCACTATTTCCCAAGAACATTCATGTCTGCTCGATGCTTATCCAAACGTAAACAAGTGACGTCACACACTACGAAATGGACAAAGTCCGACAATTATTTTAAGTTATCTTCTATTTATGCGTTATTTTTTTTATAGATACAAATATTTAAGTAAATGCCCTGTTTATAATAAACAGTATTAACAACATTTAGATATTTATTTGTACGACAGTACAAAATGTGGCACAAGGTCAAAAATGGGATTGGGGAAAAGGAAGGTCTTCTTCTGTCTTATTTCTAAACTTCGCTAGCCATAAACACTGACCCAAACATACCAACAATAGTCCTGACACCAAAACAACACATCCTCTCCTACCTTTCTTACTACATCCAGCATAATACCTCAATGTCTCTGTGAATTCCTAACTAGTCCCCATATGTACATTTCTTTGACTGTGGGGGAAGGATAATAAAACAATTTTAAAAAAATCCCCATTGAGTATTTACAATATGATTAAATTCTATTTACATGGAAACAAAACAAAATAAAGTTAGTAATAAAACCCCCCTACAATCCCTAAATGTAGCAGAAAAATCAGTTAACTGGACGAAAAAATACGTGTTTATAATAGTATAAAAATCATTCATTCATCCCAAGCACTCACACAAACACGCACTCATTCAGACACACCAACAAATATGAAAAAACACACGCGAAACGAAAGGCATCCCGCATCTACCAGAGAACTGACATCACTGACCATCTAACGAGGGAGGGATGGGGAATTAAACTAAAGAAAAATAGGGACAAAAATAAAAGGGGCCAATTGACCATTTACATTAAATTTAACAACCTGAATCTCCGAGAAATTTTCATAGAAAATATGTGTCCTCTGACAAGAATCGAACCTGTATTCTGTAGCTTGACGTGCTATACCAGTTTAGCTATAGAGCATTAGTTAAATATTAAAACATTTATAGAAAATACACAGGGAAACTACATTAAGGCGGTGAGAAAGTGACTGAAGCCGAGATGCCATTCCAGTACCGATAACATTGCAGATTATTCTTTGGATTTTAACAAGAATCTATAAATAAAAGCAACAGACCAGATGTGACAACCTTATTAAATGCATAGACGAATTGTCGACTTATAAATGTGTAAGTTATTCTGGCGGTAAAAATTATTTGGACCAACTTACCTAGCAGTAGAGCCTAAGTCTTAAAGATAATAAAAGCAAAAATACATTTACACACAGAACCAGAAAGAAAGAGCTGAAATCTCACAGTGAGGAAGGAGGGCTTGGAGAATCTGACACTCATAGGACATACTGAAAGCAAAACGAATAAGCCTGGGTGGCGCCTACCGGAAGAGTTTGTTTAAATGGATGGCCAAACAGGTAGTGGAGGTTTGGCAAAGAGACAAACGTTGCTAAGAACTTCAAGAAATAGGAAGTTGGAAAGGACCATGATCGCAGAGTGAATCAGAGAGGCGTAAATCAAAAACGAAAACAAATAAATCAATGTTGCTAATAGTCACAATGATTTTTATTACTTCAAATGTTATTTTTAGTGGATAGTCTGTTTTTATTTTAAACAGTATTTATTTCGTCTACCGGCCTAATCATTCAGTTTCTTTGTTAAGTTTTCTCCATTACGCAGGCAGGTAGACGAAATAGATAAACGGAGCGTCTACTCAGAGACGGTTATCTACTAAAAGTCAAGTTTGAAGTAATAAAAATATATCGGATTAAAAAATAAAGTCCATTAATTCTTTCGAAATACACAATGAAATACAGAAAAGTTTGCTTAGAGATGCTCTGTTGTTTTTGTTACTCTTCATGCTATGGCAACAACACGTAATATTAGTTCGAACTCAATGACGTCAAATCAGCATCCAACAGAGACCTCTCTTCTTATAACTATCAATAGTTGATATTTATTATAAATTAATACAATTATGGCACAAGGCCGAAAAGGGGGAATGGGTTGAGGATGGTCTTCACTATCTATCTTATACCTAGCTAATAGGATTCACGACCCATTCATTCGTTATAATTTCTTCAGTCACCATAAAATCTCGTCCGTCGTCAATCAACAATCAATCCTCCATACACCATCCTCTCAGGATGAGGAGTTTAAAAAAAAACAAAAAACATCCCAATGAGATGATAAATATTATTTACAATATATATATACAAATGGGATGAAGGATCATGAAAGAGGAGGGGGGACCCCAAAACAAACTAAATATGAAAACAAAGCAAAAATAAACATAACTGATGTTAGTAGGACCCGTTCAACCCTTCAAAAAAGAGAAGCCACTGTATTCTGCCCTTGGACAAAATCAAGAGGCTCCCTCGCTAAAGGAGAGGGAAAAGAAAAAATATAGACGGGCATGGGGAATCAATAAAGCTGACCCAGTCGAGATGAAAGGGGGTCAGAACAAACTGGGGAGGTTGGGAATGTCATCTTGAATCATAACCAACAATGTAACCGGAAGCAGACCAGGAACAACACTTACATTAACTAGGTACACAAAAGTTTATCTAACCTAACCAGGGGAGGCCTCCACAGGAAACCACCCCGATGTGATATAACTATCAATTTATTTGTTTCCGTTTTATTGGTTTTGACTTACCGCAAAAAATTCTACATGCAATAATGTATTATACGTTCATTGAATCCCATTCAAGTCCCTTAAAAATAACGTTGCCTAAAGGTCATGAGATAGACTAGAGGCAAAAAGGTTGGGGTCAATCTGCATTTCTTTAAAAAGAACACATTAAAATGAGATATTTTTGTATTTTTATGAGATATTATTGCAGTAACTACAGTATATTTGCTTTTTATTTTGACAAAAAATACGCACTTAACTATAACAATTTATCATACAACGGCCTCATATTTTGTTTTCGTCAATAAAACCACCACCTGCCTTAATTATCACTTCACAAATTTTTAGCATTGTTTCCAACAGTTTTTTTTTTTTTTTTTTAAAGACCTTCCCAAAAGTTCTTCAACCACTGAAAAAGCTCACTCACACTTTTTGGGGTATTCTCTTCGAACTCTCCTATCCAGTTCTTCTCATACTAATTTTTCCTTCTATTTTATTTTGCCCTCGATAATAAAGCATTTATAATTGGCAGCAGTTGTCATTTTGGGGTCTCCAGTTTTTTGGCGTTTTTTTTTGTTTTGTTTTTTTTGGCGTTTTTTTTTGTTTTGTTTTTTTGGCGTTTTTTTTTGTTTTTTTTTTGGCGTTTTTTTTTTCTGTCAGCATTTTTACCCGTTTCTAACTGCTATTGTAATGTATATTTACGCACTGGGTGTGATATAACTATTTTATTGCTAATGTCGTCTTCTTTGATAACATTTTGATAAATAAATATGCTTGTTGTTTTTATATTTTGTGTATTCAGTATATTGTATTGAACAAAATGGTTATCCGGCCACAGCCCGTCATTCTCTCAGTTCTCTGGCCCTCTGTGAAAAAAGTTTGGTGACCCCTGGTTTAATAAATGGCTACAAATGCGAAGGACTCTGTATGTACTGTAATGATATCTACTCACTAATCAGTAGTTATGGTCGACTGGGACTAGCTTTTTAAACACTAATCCAGGAAAGAATATTTCTTGTTGCACCGTTTTTAATAATGTCATTTTAATATAGGCACCATACTTTATAAATATACACTACAAACAAAAAGTTTGGGGTAACCCTGCATTTCAATTTTTTAAAATGCGATATTTTTGTATTTTTAAAGTAAAAGATATAAGATTTCACTAATTACAGTAAATTGTCTTCTATTTTGACAAAAATAAGTACTTAACTATAAACAGATTATCATACAATAGCATCATATTTTGTTTTCGTCAATAAAACCACCACCTACCTTAATTACTGCTTTACAAATCTGTTTGTTTTGTCTCTAACATATCTTGTGAATATCAAATTCTCCAAGCTTTCTTCCCTTATTATATGTCGCAAAGGCAAACATTGAGTAACCTATATAATGAGATGTGTAAATGGATGGTAGAATAGTGTTTGGGAAGGACAGTAATAAAAACAATCATTGGTAAAAACTACGAAGTAATATGCCGTTATTTTCTCTGGTAGACCGGTTGCCAACCAAGGCTATAGGACTCAATCTATTTACATTATTCGGACTATTGTCCTCATCTTTATCGCCATATTTATTACAACGTTTCGGCCGTTGTACGCTCGGGCCTTCTTCAGGTGGTTGGAATGTCGAACTGAACCCTTTATTTCGCTCAGTTCGACATTCCAACCACCTGAAGAAGGCCGAAGCGTACAACGGCCGAAACGTTGTAATAAATATGAGATGACAAAGATGAGGACAATAGTCCGAATAATGTAAATAGTGTACATAATACCTCATCTCAGAAATATCAACAGATACTGGAGGACTCAGTCTGTCCCGCTATTTAATCTATGGCAGGTGGGAAAAGATATTGATTCATACCTTTCCTCAGAGTATTTACGCGAAAATGAATGTAACTAACAACTGGAATTTGAACTCTGCTCTCCATTTTTTCATTACTGGCCCTTATTCTCTACACCATCTGCACATCCAAGCTTACATCATCTGGTATTCCTAAGCAGTTACCCATCAAGGTACTGACCCGACTCAACGTTGCTTAACTTCAGAGATCAGACGAAAACCGGTGTTTTAACATAAGCATTTTATACGTTTACAATGACCAAACTGTAGATGTTAACACGGTTAAGCACTGGTTTTAGCAATAACGATGTGTATTTCTAGCCATGCTCCGAGTACAGCATGGAAGAGGTGGTAATTTCAAAGAGTCACTCATATATAATGTCCATGAATTCACGTATAATAAGTATGCAAGATAATGGAATTTTGCTTGTCTAAGTTTAGAAATGTATTTATAAAATTTGGTTTGGTTTGTTTTACGGTATATCAACCTCAATGGGTTATTTAATGCCGACAAATCTTTTATTGCTGGTAATATTTTCCTTCAAAAATGTATTGCAGGTAATATTTTTTTCCTTCAAAGATGTATTGCCAGTAATATTTTCTTTCAAAATAAACTATAGTTGGTAATAACTTTTTTTAAAAAATATATTGCTAGAAATATATATTTTTTTTTTTTTTTGCAAAGTATTTCTGGTACGTATTAAAACCTATTTTTACACTTTCATAGTGTTTTGACCCCAGTTTGGGTGTCAACTATTTGCCCATAGCTGAGACCCTAACAAGTGCTACCACCCCAGGTCAGGGTGGACCTGGGAACACCAGCAAGAGGTGGTTCCACACTCCTCAAAACTTCGTGATCAGAAGCCTTGCTGTTGGATGTAGTTTATCGTCTTACCCAGGACGCGGATGTTGTTTACCGTCTTACCCAGGATGGCTATTTATAAAATGCAATATACAATAAATTTTAAATACAATGGACAAAGAAAAATTTTGTTTATTAATGAAATTTCTTTTTCAATTAAAATCGTTAAGACGAAGATGATGGCCGGAAATGCTGTTTGTGCAAATGAAAAGCAAACAGCTTCAACCAGAATTCAAATTAGGTTAGCCGTGCCTATAATTTTCTCGCTACTTCCGCCTTCTTGTTTTCCACACAAAACCCACCTTAAATAAAAAGTGCCATTAAATCATTTTGTTTTAACTTCTTGTCACGCAAAATTCAAATATTATTTATTTATTTATTGCTTTTGTTTTGTGTTGGACAAATTGGCCCCAAGTCTCAACCAGAGGATTTCTGGAGATAACAAATCTTTTTGCATCAGACGCTGTAAACAAATTTGTGCGTTTTGTGCAAAAATAATCTGGAAAAAGGGTGACATGAAATAATTTTTCCTAGCTGAGGACATTTTACCATTTTTTGTATTTTTTTATTTTTTTCATTTTTCACGCAATATTCAGCTATTATTTTTATTTATTTTTCTTTTGCTATGCGTAGTACGATTTAGCACCCCAAATTCTTGACTTCAAGAAACAACAAATCCTTTCTATCAGACGATGCAAACAGATCAGTTGCCATGCAATCATAAAAATGTAATTGTAGTCAATGCACGGAAAGAAATCTACACAAGATGTGAGAAGTGCTCAGGAGCATAATTTTTACTAATTCTCCTATTTTAGGGCTACCAGGAAATTGATCCACATCGTTGACTATCTTTGATATCATTCTCAAAAGACCCAATAACAAAAGGTCTTGAGATGTCACATTCTTCTGATTTCTATCTCGAGATCTTTCTCTTTATTTAGTTTATTAAACGTTTTCAAAGATGTCTTTTTGTCAGGTGGGTCTGCAACATCTATCAGAAGACATGTCTTTTCAACATGATCTTTCACAATTATGCCTTGCCAATTTATCTGCATTTCCTTATCAATCTAAGTACTGAAATTCCAGAGGATAGTAACCTCATCATTCTCTACAATTTGTGGTAGCTTATGATACTAATACTAATACTAGTACTACTACTATTACTACTAATAATAATAATTATTATTATTATTATTATTATTATTATCGTGTTTTGCATTTGTTTTATGTAGTTACCACAATTCTCAAACAGAGACTTCAAGAGATGTTTTCTTTACATCAAAACATGCAAACAGATCAGGTATCATTCAAATAGAAAAAATGGAATTGTGGTCATTGCATAGTGAGAAATCGATGCAAGATGTGTTTTTGTTGCTGTTGCTGCTGTTATTATTATTAGTAGTAGTAGTAGTAGTAATAGTTGTAGTAGTAGTATTTCCTTTGATTTCTGTTGTATTCACATTTCTTTCAGGGTCCCAACCAGTGACCTAAGGTCAGAAATTGCTTCATGATGTTTTCCACTGACCATTTTTGTAAAAACAAAAAAAATCCAAGATTACACATACTTCACATAGATAAAGCTCTTGGTAATGTGTGAACGGTATTCGTGAGTACAGTTTTAAAGCATGGGCTACAATGAGTTTATCGAAACCTTTTTTCCAATCAATCCGAGGGCTCCAAATACAACTGGAATTATTGATATCCTCATGTGCCACATTTTTAAGATTTCCTTTTCTTGACTTTTGATAGTTTTTGAAGATCTTCAAAAATACATTACAATATACAGAGACTGCCATGTCAATAAGAAAGCAAATTCTGTTCTTGTGGTCTTCATTCACGATGTCTGAGTGATTAATTTTCATTGTTCTGACTTAGTGTATTGTAAGGTCCCATAAAATTGTTACATTCCCTATCTCTGTAACCGGTTCTGGGTGGTGTTCATACAAGTTTCTTGAGTTTCCTTTCCGTAAAAGTTGCATATTTTCCATTACAGATATTGGCACATTCCATCATGCCGAATTTTTAATCAGTTGGTACTAACACTGTGCAACCTGATGCAAGACGGTAAATTGTTTCTGGATATTTATCACAGAATCTGCATTTCGAGATAACACAATTTTTCAATATGTCTGCTTGGTAATTTCTCGTTGGCAAGTATTGGTCCTGTACAGCAAGAATAAAATCTTCGGTTTCAGTTTTAGCCCTGCGGTACGTAGCAACTGATGAGTACGGGTTTTAACCACATCAGCGTGCTTGGTACGGGCAGAGTATTGACCATGAAGTGGTTTATCTTGCCATCGTTTCTGCATTTGGTACATTTCATTTGCTTTACCTTTCTTTTGATTATTATTGTTTTTAATTTATTTCTTTTGATTTCTGGTGTGTATACATTTCGTTCCGGGTCCCGCCCAGAGACCTAAGGTTAGAAATGGCATCATGATAAAAAAAACATAATTACATAGATAGATAAAGCCCTTCGTAAGGCGTGGGCTGTATTCGTGAGAACAATTTTTTTGTATTTCTTTAAAGCATGGGCTTCCAGGTATCCCTTCAGTAAGTCTATAGAAATATTTTCCAACCAATCCGAGTGCTCCAACTACAAGAGGGATTGTTGATGTTTCCATATGCCATATTTTTTGAGATTTCGATTTAAAGGTCCTTGTATTTTGATAGCTTTGATAGCTTTTGATAGCTGATAGCTTTATTATTATTATTATTATTAGAAAAGGAAAAAGTACAAATAAAATAAAAACGGCAAATAATTAAACCATACAATACTTAAGGAGAAGATTTAGGAAGATTAAGATTACCTCCTCGGTTATCCATCGAAACCGCAATCCACCGAAATAAGAAAAGAAGCCAGTCCCCACCGCGGGCCATTTAAAAGATAGTTCACGCAGCGGATTGGTTGTTACAAACATCCAGTCGGATGTGCGGAATATGTGGTCTTTCTTCCTCTTATTCTTTAAAAAGGCCAAAGTAGCTGTTAGCGTTTAATTAAAAGGGGGAATCAGGGGTTGATCTCCCCTGATTGGGTCGATTTGGTGATGGAGAGTATGATGTTGAAAGACCCGAAACTCCCTGATGAACCAAGTCAAAAACATCACTGACGACCCCCTTGGGCGCCGACTTAAAAGCGTACTTGCGAATTATTATTATTATTATTATTTAGATTTATATATTTTATACTTGAAAAATATTGTTTAAATATTACTTGAAGAAGACGGACTTTTGTTAAAATATTTTTTAACATTGTCAAACTATGTTTTTTTTTATTTTCTTTACCTTTTCTTAAATCGCGTTCTTCTCTTTATTATTATTATTATTATTATTATTATTATTATTATTATTACCTTCATTCACGCTTTTTTCGTTTTCAGTCGAATATCTTGCATTATGGGTATTCTTCAACAAGTCGTACGTCCTAAGATAGAGAGCAACTTTCGAGTAATATTTGTAGTGTCAAGTAATGCAGACTTCTGAAGCGATGGGATGATAGGGTTTATTATGGCTTTCTCAATGTACTTCCTGATATAAAATGTGTTTTTTTTTCAATGTAATTCCGTGGTTCCGTGATATAAAACCCAACACCCATAACTGGGACAATAGTGTCCTGAACATCTCATATACTTCATATCCGGAGTTCGGTGTATTTCTTAAGCTGATTATTTTCTTTAACCTTGATATTGTCGTCACCAGAAACAGTCACGTCGATAAAGAGGCGCTTTCTTGTTTATTATTTTTTTTATTTGTAATAATTGACTTTCATGCCAGTAATAAACAGTTTCACAATGAACAAGTGCCAGAAAACTCCTTTCCAAACTTCTCTTCAGTATTCTAACTGATTTTATTTATCCAAGGACATCCAGTTTATATAGTCTCTTTACAAGGCTCTCTAAAACTGTTTCAAGCACTCGTGTAATAATGGGGAGAACTTATTATCCAACGTTCAGTCTCTTACTCTTAGATGCAACGTCGCAAACATATCGCTACTCCATCACTATCGCTATGGCAACTGTTCCGAGGAACTTCATTCTTCAGTTCAGACGTTTATACCTAGGACGCTACTTTCATGACTCATTTCCTTAATATTCCAAATGTAAAGAAAAGTTATACAGTTTCGTTTACCAAGAACAGACTCCCATGTGGATGTTTCTTTGAATATTACAATGTTAACCTCGTCAAGTCAAAGATCAGTCCTCATCTGTAATCTTCACTTCCTACTTCCCCTACTTTTATTCACGCATCTGATTCACTGTAACCATTTTAACAGTAAACCTCTACCTTGACCGGCTCCCCAGCCATGTAATGGTTGAATTTTAATATGAATGACAAAATAATAACATTATCAAGTTATTGACATTCTACTCT